ATAAGGGTGATGTCACAGCACAACGGGAATCTAACAGGGGGAGAGGTGGAAGCCATCCTCCTCCTCCCATGACCACGCCAGCAAGGACAGGACGCTTTAGAGACGTGTTGTTGATGGAGGACATGTGGACCTTTTTAAGTCCTACGCATCGCCACAGCCCTTCGGGATCCACCCTCAGAGAGCTACTCGACCGACAGGTAGCAGACTACCTCGCCTTAACTGCAGATATCGACACTCTGAGGAGCGATGAACCCCTTGACTGGGTGTGCAGGCTTGACCTGTGGCCTGAGCTATCCCAATTTGCGATAGAACTTCTGGCCTGCCCCGCTTCAAGTGTCCTGTCAGAAAGGACCTTCAGTGCAGCAGGAGGTATTGTCACTGAGAAGAGTAGTCGCCTAGGTCAAAAAAGTCTAGATTACCTCACCTTTATTAAGATGAATGAGGGATGGATCCCGAAGGGACTGACACTGGGCGATACATTAGATTAAAAAGGCCTGATGAGATGAGCTGCCTTGGGCTAAAAATGGTCCACACGCTGCTGTATTTTAGCTCTGAATGCCTGTTGACTTGCGTGACTGATCCGCCACCAACTTGGGTTCAAGCCGCCATCTTTAGGGCACTTTCTGCCTGTGAAACAAACATCAGTTATAGATTGAATAGCAGTTAGTTGTCTCAAAGCGGGTGTGTCAGCCCTACAGCGTGTACTCTGCCAGTACGCTGCCACCTCCTCTACTCCTCCTACTCCATCCTCTTCCATAACCTCCTCGGCTTAGTCCTCTTCTGCTGCTGCGCCTTGCTCCACATCAACGGATAGGGGGCGTAACAGTGATTAAACTGATAACAATAGTACTAAACACACCACTCACTCACTGGTGTCACAATAGCTTGGATTTAAAAACAAAAAAAATTTTTCACTGTTATAGATTGAATAGCAGTTAGTTATCTTCAAGCAGGTGTGTCAGCCCTACAGCGTGTACTCTGCCAGTACGCTGCCACCTCCTCTACTCCTCCTACTCCATCCTCCTCCATAACCTCCTCGGCTTAGTCCTCTTCTGCTGCTGCGTCTTGCTCCACATCAACGGATAGGGGGCGTAACAGTGATTAAACTGATAACAATAGTACTAAACACACCACTCACTCACTGGTGTCACAATAGCTTGATTTAAAAACAAAAAATTTTTTTCACTGTTATAGATTGAATAGCAGTTAGTTATCTTCAAGCAGGTGTGTGTCAGCCCTCAAGTGTACTCTGCCTGTAATGTGCCACCTCCTTACCTCCTACTCCATCCTCTTCCATAACCTCCTCGCTTGGTCCTCTTTCTGCTGCTGCGCCTTGCCCACACCTGGATAGGGGGCGTAACAGTGTGATTAAAACTGATAATGTAGTAGTACTAAACACACCACTCACTCACTGGTGTCACAATATTTTTGGATTTAAAACAAAAAATTTTTTTCACTGTTATAGATTGAATAGCAGTTAGTTATCTTCAAGCAGGTAAACAGCCCTTTACAGCTGTACTCTGCCTGCAATGCCACCTCCTCTACCCTCCTACTCCATCCTCTCTTCCATAACCTCCTCGCTTGTCCTCTTCTGCTGCTGCTGCCTGCTCCACATCAACGGATAGGGGGCGTAACAGTGATTAAACTGATAACAATAGTACTAAACACACCACTCACTCACTGGTGTCACAATAGCTTGGATTTAAAAACAAATTATTTTTTTCACTGTTATAGATTGAATAGCAGTTAGTTATCTTCAAGCAGGTGTGTCAGCCCTACAGCGTACTCTGCCAGTACGCTGCCACCTCCTCTACTCCTCCTACTCCATCCTCTTCCATAACCTCCTCGGCTTAGTCCTCTTCTGCTGCTGCGTCTTGCTCTACATCAACGGATAGGGGGCGTAACAGTGATTAAACTGATAACAATAGTACTAAACACACCACTCCTATCTGGTGGCACATTAGATTGCACGCGCAGTGCCCCAAATTTGTTGTGATCTGTGAGTAAGGTAAACGGTTGTCCATACAAGTAGGTTGCAGCTTTTTGAGGGCCCACACCACCGCTATGCACTCCCTTTCAATGGCAGTGAATATACTTCGCTGTGCAAAAGTTTACGGCTTAGATAAGCCCCGGGTTGCTAGCCACCATCTGCTCCGACTTGGCTCAATACTGCCCCCAATCCAAGCATAGAAGCGTCTGTATGGCCGAGAAAGTGTTTAGTTGGATCAGGAGAAGAAAGTACAGGTGATTTAATGAGCGCCGTCTTGAGCTGTTGGAAGGCCTGTTCACATTCTGGGCCCATACTACTATCTTGGGGAGGTTTTTACACGTTCCTATATGGCACTTACTGGGCTTTAGGGTCAGTCCGGACTCCCTAATCCGGTCTATTACGGCTCCTATGTGGGTCAGGTGTTCGCCAGGAGCTGCTAAAAATGTCTATACCATTCAAGTAGGTGTGTATCAGTGTGTATCAGGGATCCTTAGGACAGGTGTCAATCCATATCTGCCAAGTGACCCTATGTTGGGGTAACATTCCCTATTCTGATCTGTGTCAGTGTGTATCAGGGGCTCTGAGGACAGGTGTCAATCCATATCTGCCAAGTGACCGATGTTGGGGTAACATTCCTCATTCTGCTCTGTGTCAGTGTGTATCAGGACCACTGGATAGGAGACGAAGGTATTAAACTGGATAAAATAGTACTAAACACACTCCACTCCTATCTGGTGTCACATTATTTTGACCGCCAAGAGGCCCCAAATTTGCAGGCAAGAGGACCCACTGCCATTCTTCTTCCATCTCCCTGTTACAAAAATCAATGCCGTGTACACGACCACTGATAGGAGACGCGGAAGGTATTAAACTGATCAGAACAATACTAAACACACCATTCCTATCTGGTGGCACATTAGCTTGACCGCGCAGTGCCCCAAATTTGCAGTAAGAGGACCGACCAAGGCTCTTCTTCCATCTCCCTGTTACAAAAATCAATGCCGTGTACACGACCACTGATAGGAGACGTGGAAGGTATTAACTGATCAGAACAATACTAAACACACCACTCCTATCTGGTGGCACATTAGCTTGACCGCGCAGTGCCCCAAATTTGCAGTAAGAGGACCGACCAAGCCTCTTCTTCCATCTCCCTGTTACAAAAATCAATGCCGTGTACACCACCACTGATAGGAGACGCGGAAGGTATTAAACTGATCAGAAAATACTAAACACACCACTCCTATCTGGTGGCACATTAGCTTGACCGCGCAGTGCCCCAAATTTGAATTAAGAGGACCGACCAAGCATCTTCTTCCATCTCCCTGTTACAGAAATCACTGCCATATCCATACAAATTGTACAGAATGTCCAGGATAGTTTTCCAGGGACAAATGTTGCCGCCTGTTGAACGAGGTGACCTTGCTCGGGTCCCAGGTGTACGGTTCCTAAAATGGCTGCCATATACACGTCCACTGATAGGAGACGCGGAAGGTATTAAACTGATCAGAACAATACTAAACACACCACAAATAAGGTTTCTCTCCTGTATGGCTCCTCAAATGATGCTTAAGATTAGAAGCGGCTGAAAAGCATTTCTCACACTCCGAACAAAGATATTTAAAACTACACATCCATCTTCATAATTACATATTTGGAATCAGCACACAAACATAAACATAACCAAAAATCAGCCAAATCCATCCAGGGGTTAAAAAGTTAGCTGGCATCCCTTAAATGGACTGCAAGCACATTCAACACATAGATGGGTTGTGAGTGTCTATTTCAGGCTGAAAAAACGCTAAGTTTTTATTCAATTCAGTTAGTAGATTTGGGCTGAAGTTTGTCGGTACCTTGCTGGGAAATTTGCAGGTTAGGGGAGAACCTGCCTTCTCTGGTTTGCATGGGGCTGGCAAAGACTAATTTTCCCTAAGGTGGGTTTTGGTGCCGCAGCTGTATTGAATGTTGTGTGAACGGAAAGTGGGAAAAGAGGGGAGGGTGCCCAATTAGGTGCTTTGTTTGGGCAGTCTTGTCCTTAATTGTGTGATAAGGAATACTCTATCTCTCTGGAAAAATAGGCTATGAAAAAATGAGCTGAAAAAGAGTTTTCCCAGTGTTAATTGGACTTTTGTCTGTGGATCCTGTAAAGCTGTTTACTTTGTAAGTAGGTGCTGAATGGGTTTTTTGTGTTAGCTGATGGAGTCCCATTTATGAACAAGTCCAAATGGAGCCAGGCACAAAGGGTGGGGCACTTTCTTGCCACATCTGTATTGTTTTTTGATCGTGGCTGTAGTGCATTGGGGATCGTAGGTGAGCTTCCAGTGTCCCTAATGATTGATGCCCACCAATGGTGTTTAAGGGCCAGCACAGTTTGGCTTTTTTGTATCATTTCAGCATGCCCAGGGCAGAACATTCGGGTAAGAAGGTCAATCTTTATTGGTACAAGTTTGGCCTGGCCGGGCAATTTGCCATTTAAATGCCTGGCCCGTTTGTAACAAGGTGTAGCAGTTCCATATAAGCCAGTAGGTGTGCCGATGTATCCATTGCCTGATTCTGCTCTGTGTCCGTAGGGGGTAGCATCCCTATGCTCTCTGTGACAGGTGTCAATGCATCAGGGGCAGTCAAGAGTGTCAGGTGATATCAATCATATGTCAGGTGTCAATATGTGATATTCAGGGATCTGTTAGGTGATTGTGATTATAGGAATTAAAACCAGTGATATCAGATGTGTAATTTTATGGGAGGATGAACATTCAAGGTAATTAACTCTACATGCCAAGCTCAGGGCCTGCCCCTTTCTTTTCAGTGTGGTTTTCAGCTTGTGGCACAGATTGTGGTGTATTTTTGGTCGTCCGCCGGTGAAGCATGCAGGAAGTTTCGGAGTGGTTCGCCGTTCGTGTGTCTTATTGGAACACTTCGAAAGAGTCAAAGACAACAATCTCATTAGATTCTGCCAAGATTAAATCGGTCCCACATGACATTATTTTCGCTTCCTGCAAATCATTTTCTGTTCAAACCATTGTGACCATGTGCTTACACACCCCCACAGAAACTGCCAAATCTCTACTATGATCCACCTGCCTGGCCATTGGGAGATAACTGGAGGGATTTTAGGGGCTGAACATAGAACCTCATTGGCATAATAGGAGGAAAAGGGAACAAGAATTGTTACCATTAGACACCCACCTTAGTTTAAAGACATGTGTTTCCACTTATGGATTGAAGGGATGCAGAGAAAGGGGTTTACATCCACCTATGGTGGGAAGCCCGCATTTACCCCACTGCCTGTTTATGGTCCAAACATTAACAGGACTCTACACATTGATTCCCAATGGATTGTATTCTGGCTCCTTCAAAACCAAATAATCCTTAACAAGGGCCCAAAATTTTAATTTTAATGTTTGGCACTGGCCATTTCGGAGAACAATTTTCATTTTTATTTTTCAGCAACGCTATTGTTACCCCAAGGAACCACTACGGAATTTAGATTTTGTTTTTTAATGGACAAACTGAAGCCTTGATCCAAATCACCTCCAAATCTTCCACAATTATGGGACCCATATATAAATGAACAGCACTTCACCATAGCTCTTTTAAACCAAACAGCCCTCAAAGGGCTGGTCTTTCAAGCATTCCCCCGGTCTTGGAACCCCACTCAGTGCTGTGATCCACGTGGTTACTCCCACCTTCAGGGGCATATGTGGAGGGAGAGATGGGTAGTGTGATTGAGGTTTTGTGTTAACATTATTTTTTCTCCTATTTCTCACTTTAGCTCCACTCTTCTCCCCCTTCTCCACCTCCCCCACTATACTTCCCTCTTCTACCTCCTGCCCAGACCACCCACTCCAATCACAGCATTGGACTGGTTGCCCCCCCAGGACAAACACTCACCCCCTAATTACACATGCCTTTGTACCTAACCTATTGTTATAACCTTGACAGACAACCATCGAAGACTCAACACTTCCCACGAAACACAGCAGATAACGAACCGATCAACTATGCAACTATTACACATACATAATAGCAAAAATTACACTTAGAAAAGCCTCTTAAGACAGATTTTGCACAAGGCTACTAAAATATATTATTACGCCTTCAAGTCGGCCTTTGCACAGGCCCTGCTAGTCGTTTATAAATTGTGATATCCAAGAAGGCTTCTGCGCAAGCCCTGTTTTTCAATTATAGACTTACCTTATAAGTTGGCTTATGCACAGGCCTGGCATCCAAATGACACATTATGCCTTCCAAGATGGCTTCTGCGTAAGCCCTGTTGTTCTCATTGTTTATGATTCTACCTTCTGTCATAACAAAAATAAAGAATTTAAAAAAAAAAGCAACTGGATGAACATTTGCAAAAACATAATATTCATGTTTAATTTATGGGCTATTAGCTTCTCTATCCAAGGAGGACTCTGACTGCCATGCTGGGATCAAGAAGGCCTTTTTCCTAGTTTGTTGCAAAACAGTTTTTGCCTTCATTTGGATCAACAGCAAACACAGATGTGAGAAAGGCTGAACTTGATGGAAGCATGTCTCTTTTCAGCTATGTAAAACTTATAATGCCAAATGTAATATTTTATTTTAACAGTTTTTTTTTTTACTTTCTCTTTTTACACAAATCACATTATAGCTTCAGGTTTTACTATTGTCCTTTTTGGAGTGACATTCTCATAAATTCCAGTCCCATTTGCTCACATGGAATGATCTCTGCTTCAATCTATATTTTTCATATAACCCAGTTTTTCTGAAAAAGCAGAGAAATAGAGCTCCATATCCAAACAGACCAAAACGGTCAATACATTTTTGTTGACTCTACCAAATTTCACAAGGGCAGCTTTGTTTAATCTTATCACTCTTGACAGTTTCTGTGCTGTTGATGTAATTACAGTGATAAAACAATGTGACATAAATGCTATATACTGTCACAGGATCATTGCTGTTGACTTAAGTGGCAAGTTGATAATTTTACAAAACCCCTTTTCTCTATTAACTGCCACTGATATTGTACATCTACACACACTATATTAACTGCTTGGAATATATAAATGTTAAAGATACAAACTAAATAATGTTTTCTGTGGTCCGATATTTATCTTCAACAAATACTAACTGCAACACATGCTAACACCTGGAAAACTTTATTCTATTTTGAGAGAAGAAGAATTAAATATCTGTTTTTATT